GATGCTCGATTCTGTTGATAAGGTCCGTGCGCTCGGTGATCGTCTGTTCGTGGAAATCGTCAATCAGCAAGAATAGGTGCTTGGAGTCCGTGAGGTACAGTCTGGTGACAGATGCTCTCTGACCCGGCGGTAGCAGTGCCAGAATGCCATCTTTTTTGGCAAGCATGTTCTCGTATATGATGGATCTCTGTGCCAGCACTGTGTTGTTGGGCAAGAGCGCTGGGCATCGTGATCCATTGCCACCAATGAGATCGCCACGATAGGTCGTATTCGGTGGTAAACCACTAATGCCGATCTTGCCGATAAACTCGCCACACGATGGATCTGCCTCACCGCTGATACCCGTCAATGATGCTTCTGATCTGCCGCATTGACACTTGATGCCAAGAGTTTCGTAGATGTACTGAACCCATTCTCGGAGAGTTTCGGTGCCGAGAAGACCGTCACTAGCGCCTGGGTCGACGATAATGCCCAAGCGAAGCTTTCCTTGAATGGTCATATAGACGGAGTGGTTATTTTCGGCGCATGCGTGCACGATCTTGGATGAGAGCAAATTCATGGAGCACTGTGCTCGTAGCTTTTCTGCCAATGTCTGATTCTTCGTTGGTGAACCCAGTGCCAATGTAGGTTCTTCCATGGGGTACTTCGCAGAATTCGTGGTTGATGTCGTCGGTGCCGAGGGTGGTGATGCGGTAGCTGATTGTCTGCACTGCAGAGCAACCCTCTCTGCCATTGTCTAATACTCTGATAATGATGTTGCCGCCGAGGATGAGAAAGAGGGCCAGCTGGAAGGTACAGGTGCGTTGAAACTGAGATGCGGCTGCTCAATCTTCGGATCGCGTTTCCAGGAAGAGGTACTTGAGTTATTGTTATTACCTTTGCCCTTCGTCGTTCTCAGTCTAGTTGCCGATCCGAAGTCGTCGTAGATGTCGCCGTCTGTACTGTACCATGTGCGGTCCTGCATATCTGCTTCCTGATCATGCGCGTCGTAGTATTCGTCGGGAGACTGCCGAGTCCGTTCCGTAGTGGTCTCCTCAGTCTCGGTGCTTTCAGGAATGATGTGCTGAACTGAAATCGCGCTGGCCACCGATGTCGCTGCACCAGCCAGGCCACTGTCACCAGGTACCAGTGAGCTCACGTCCATGTCGGGAAGATGATGCCAATTGGCTGCTGATGAACTGTGGTAACTGGAACCATTGGCTGAAGCTGCAGAACCAGCTGGCTCTTGATTGCAATGTCGACTACCGGTCTTGCCACGACCGCGTTCCTTGATAGGTTGAGGAGGTGCTGCTGCTGCATGAGGTTGCTGCCCTTTCGTGGGGCATTGGCCATGTCGATGCCATTTGCTGCCACAGGTACTGCAACCATTCTGAGCTCCTCCGTGATTGCCTTTGCCACCGTGGTTTGGTGCAAACTTCTTGCCTTTGCGCTTGCCTTTGCCTTTGTTATTGCCCTTGCTGCTGCGTCGATACCCTTTGCCGCCGCCGTATCCTTTACCACGGTTCTTGCCTTTGCTGCCTCCGTAGTAGATCGCGTAATCTTCGATCGTAAGTTCCTCTAGGCATTCGCCGTCCTGATCAAATTGCAGCCCTGTGTCGTCGTCTATCATGCAATACCACTCGCCGTCGAGGGTTGCACTCCATCCTTCGTCATCGGTCCAGCCCCATTCGTATTCGTTCACGTCGTAGGCCTCGTACCACACATCATGATATTACGTGAGATCATGCTCGTTACCATTCTGATATGTGTAGAGTGCCCAATCCTGATGGTGCTGTGATTGATCTTCCATGCCTAATCTCATACGTACCCCACGGATGGCCTGATACTGAGCTAAGTCGCCACCAACATGCAGGTTGGTGTCATCGATGCGCTTCTCGTTAAGGTCTGAATTCTTGAGCAGAAAGTGCGCCTTGCCAACTGTATTCATTTGGAGGCCGCCCTCTTCACAAGCGTCCTCGTATGCCATTTCGTACTGAGCAATCCAGGTCGTGAGATCGCTGTTGCCGCGCCTGCAGTCGAAGTAGGCGTCCAACACGATACCCTTCGGTCTTGGTCGTGCAACTCGTAAACTGACTTCAACTTATCAAGGAACTGTCTGATGCCGCTGTGCTCTCCAACCATGCCTTGAGCTGCATCTGCAGGAATAGCCGGTGGTGCCATGGCCTCGTCGCCTCGGTAGGTCACTTCGCCGCGAGTGATCGTGTAGCTCACTGCCTGTGTAAATGGTGGGCCCTTCAACCGACTCACGATAAATGGGCCGATGCGTTCTTCGCTCTCCTCGTCCGTGAGCCTCCACCATAATCGTAACTTATGTATATATCTCCGGAACGTGTATCCTCGAATATTGGGTTTCCATCTTGGAGGTACATTCTTTGTGAAATCCTCCAGGCCGAGTCCTCCTTTTTCGTGATCATCATTTCTACCAGCCATTGCGTCGCTGTCGTTGTCCAGGAATGCGGGATGTTCAGAACTCTCGTCGCAAGTGTCGTAGAAGGTGAAACTGTCCAGGTAGCAATTGATGTGGTTGCTGCCGTTGTCCTCGCAGGATGTCGCGTAGGGCTCTCCAATCTTGTAGCCGTGGAAGCTCGCGGGATCGTCTTTTGCGATGAACACGCAGATATGGAAGATGAGGCCGATGTTCTGCCTCCAGTACTTCGTCGTCTTGATGAAGTAGCGCGCCGCCTGGCGGCGCGGATGGCGCGGATGGCGCGGGCCGCGCGCGCTCGCCGGAGGGGCGGTACCCGGAGCTGGTCGTCACCAGCTCCGCTACCAGAATTAGTTTTTGGAAGGCTTGAGCCCCGATATCGGGGAGCTCTCTCAGTCACTTCTGAACATCCTATTCCAATATGAGTTATAATTCATCTATACACTCTCTATTATTCCCAGGGGCCTAATATCCTTACTCCTCTCCCCCCCCCTCTCTCCTGTTCCCCCCCTCCCCCCACTCTCTCCGCCTCCCCCCCCCCCTCCTCTCTCCTGACCCCCCCCCTCTCTCCTGTCCCCCCCCCCCCCCTCTCCTGTCCCCCCCCCTCTCCTGTCCCCCCCCTCTCTCCTGTCCCCCCCCCCTTCTCTCCTGTCGCCCCCCCTCGCTCCTGTTCCCCCCCCCCCCTTCCCCTTGCAGAGCGTCCATCTGCAAAGCGGACCCTCCAGCCTTTCCCCGCACCTGCAGCTCCCCCTCCCGCCTGAGAAAGCCCCCCCCCCTTTGCAGCCCCCCCCCTGCAGAGCGCCCACCCACCCCCTCCCTATCCTGCCCTCACCCTTGCAGAGCAGAACTCCGGGGGGGGTGGGGGGGGCACAGCACAGGTCAACGCGGCATAGCATATTTTCAATCCATCACAGCACAACACAACACAACACAGCCCCTGGCATGGTACATCGCCAGCGTTACCTTGAGCATTGCAAGTGTTTGGCGTTTTGAAAAATTATGTGTTCCACATTTCTACCTCGTTTTCCGGGTTCGTGTGTCGATTACGTTATGCTTGCAAGTGTTTCACACGAATTTGCATGCCTGAAGTCCGAGGAGTGGCGTTCTGGAACGATTCAGGATTGTCGGGACGCAAGAATCTCGTTGATTCTCGGTGTTGAAGTCCCAAGAACGGTGTTCTGGCACGATTTAGGGCTGTCAGGACGCAGCAGTCACGCTGGCTCGCGGTGACGAAGTCACAAGAGTTTTGTTTCGGTTCGAGTAAAGATTCGCAGACGGTTGTCTTCCAATGGGGCACTTCCTGCAATTGGAATACATTCTCGTGGCCATATGAAGAGGGATTCTGGAGGGAGGGTTCATTGCAACAGGGTTGATGCGCCTTGGGTTTACACTGGTCCTCCTCCTCCTCCTCCTCCTCCTCCCCCTCCTCCTCCTCCTCCTCCTCCTCCTCCTCCTCCTCCTCCTCCTGTCAGGGGATGACGAGGAGGTCCGTCTGGGCTGCTTGCATCCTAGAGTTTCAGAGACCGCCCAGGTTGCCACGCAGATCAACCGCGGAGCCCGGGAGGGGCGAAACAGCCGGCACGAGCACAGAGTGGCAGCCCCCATTGTGGCCCCTTCCCCTCGCCGCGTCTCTCCCCACCATTCTGCCCTATCCCCCTCTTGCTTGGGACCTTCGAGGGCCCCTCGCTGCCCCGGCTGGATCCGGCCCGAACTCCCGCTCAAAGAGCGCGCTCCTCGGGGGGCAACGACAGGGGGAGATGGCCACAGAAGGGACGCACCGACCTCGAACGGTTGATGCATCGACGACGCATCGTTGATACCAGGGCGATGTACCGACGATGTGTGGACGATGCACGGGGCGGTCTGCATCGACTGTGCGTCGACGATGCATGGGCAATGCATCGGTCATTCGAGGTCGGTGCATGCCCCCTCTGTCTATTCAGGGAAACTAGGAATGACATGAACATAAAAACCCGGAGGTCCGCGCGGACCTCCGAGTTGTTATGTTTATGCCATGGTTCGTTCCCCTACTAGTTCCCCCCCGATCGTTGCCCCTCAGCTCCAGAGGAGGCCAGGACGCGCGTGGCCTAGCGCTGTTGCGCCGCTCGAGGAGGAGGAGGGCCTCCCCTCGCCTGCCCTGCCTCTCTCCCCGTGGCCCACCGGCTCGCCTTGCCCGGCTGGCCTCGGCCAGGCCCAGGCGCGTGTCCGCCGCGGTCGTTTGCGTCCCCCCATCCTCCTCTTCCTCCTCCTCCTCCTCCTCCTCCTCCTCCTCTCTCTCCTCCCTCCTCCTCTCCTTCTCCTCCTCCTCCTCCTCTCCTCCTCCCCTCCTCCACCTCCCCCTCCTCTCCTCCTCCCCCTCCTCCTCCTCCTCCTCCTCCTCCTCCTCCTTCTCCCCCTCCCCCTCCTCTTCATCCTCCCCTTCCTCTTCCTCCTCCTCCTCCTTCTCCTCCTCATCCTCATCCTCATCCTCCTCCTCCTCCTCAGTATTCTCAGCGCTCTTCTTCTTACCGTGCAATTATTATTCGTCGTCGTGCGGCATCTCTTCATTGTTGCGACTCCCCGCGCATCGCCGCAGCCGTCCAGGGGCGGCGCTGGTGGCGCTGTCGGACTTCCTCGTGAGCCCCTCGGTCGGGGCATTGTCGGACCGCATCGGGCGGAAGCCCTTCATGCTGCTGGCGCCTGGCGCGGCCCTGCTGCTCAAGCTCGTGGGCGCGATTCGACCCACAGCGGCGGTGCTGCTGCTGGAGAAGGTCCGGGGCCCAACATCCGAGGTACGACAGGTTCGCGCCCCCTCGACGCGGCGGCGACGCTGGCGCGGGGCGGTCCAGGATGAACGCCCTGCGGTGGCCTGATTCAGTCCATGGGACCTACAGAGGGAAACCCACGGCGCGAAATGCTTGCGAAAGATGGGGTCCAGAGCCTCCAGCGACCTCCAGGGGCGGAGATCGCTCAATTGTAAACGACCCACGCGGGGCAAGCGCGGCCCACGCGGTGTAAGCACGGCCCACACGACGTCAAAGCAGGACCCCGCCGTACAGTCAATTACAGTGGTACGGACGCAGTGCTTCATCAAGGTTGTCCTTGCGTCAGCATCATCATCATCAGCAGCAGCAGCATCATCATCATCATCATCATCATCATCATCATCATCATCATCATCATCATCATCATCAGAACCACCACCAACATCATCACTATCATCAGCAGCAGCATCCCCAGCATCAGCATCATCATCAGCATCATCAGTACCGTCATAGTCATCTGCATCATCATGATAATCATCATCATCAGCATCATCATCATCATCGTCATCATCGTCATCATCGTCATCAGCATCATCATCATTATCATCATCATCATCATCATCATCATCATCATCATCATCATCATTAGTATCATCATCACCAACATCATCAGCCTCATCATCATAGTCAGCATCATGATCAGCATCATCATCAGCATCGTCATCCTCAGCATCATCAGCATCATCATCAGCATCATCATAAGTATCAGCATCGTCGTCGTGCAGGTTGCATGGAATGAGAGCGCGGAAGGAAGAGGGTTGCGCCGACGCCTGCTCCCTTCCACTTATGTCCCCTGCCCTCCAGGAGAAGGGGGCGAGAGAAGAGACAGGGAAGAGGAGGGAGTGAGGGGATTGAGGGGAGGGAGGAGGAGGAGGAGGAGGAGGAGGAGGAGGAGGAGGAGGAGGAGGAGGAAGAGGAGGAGGAGGAGGAGGAGGAGGAAGAGGAGGCGGAAGAGGAGGAGGCGGAGGAGAATGAGGAGGGGGGGAGAGGGACAGGGGTGAAGGAGGAAGGGAGGGAGGGAGGAGGGAAGGAGCGGGTAGGACAGCGGATAGCGTACGATTCCCCCGGGAGAAGGTGGTCAGCGACTCCATGCGCACCCTCGGGGGCACCACAATGACCACTTCGTGTTTCTCGGACCTCTTCCAGGGCAAGGCCCCTGCTGGAGCAGGGGGAGGGAGGAGTCGAGGGAGAAGCAGGGGAGAAGCAGGGGAGGAGCAAGGGAGAAGCAGGGGGCCGAGGGAGAAGGGGAGCAGAGGAAGTCGGGAAGGAAGAGGGGTGAGGCAAGGGAGGAGAAGGGGAGAAGCAGGGGGAGGAGCAGCGGGAGGAGCAGGGGAGGGGAGGGCGTCGAGGGAGAAGCAGAGGAGCGGGAGGAGCAGGAGGAGGGCGGAGCCCCTGGAGGGCTTCGGAGGTCCCCCCGAGGCCGCCAGAGGCCCGAAGAGGACCTGAGACGCGTAGAAGCCTGAATCCCAGGTCCTTGGATCCTCGATCCTTGGATCCTGGACTCCTCGATCCTCGCTCCTGGATCCTCGGATCCTTGGATCCTCGATCCTCGTTCCTCGATCCTGATCCTCAGGAACCTGAGTCCCAGATCCTTGGATCGAGTCGAAGGGCCGAAATTCTCATGCCGCCCCTGCACCCCGCACAACAGCGCCCTCAGAACTCGTCTTTCGAGGCCGTTGCGGCGAAGGCCTCGACGACCGAACTTGGCCAGCCCCCCTTTCACCAACACCATTGTGCCGAACGTCTCACGCATCAGAGTGCAGCAGAGCAGTACGGCATACCACAGCAGCACAGCATACCACAACAGTACGGCATGCTACCATAGCAGACCACAGCAGCACGACAGACTGGCACGTCAGACCACAGAAGCACGGCAGATCAGCATGGCAAACACCACAGCAGCACGGCAGACCAGCACGGCAGGCCACAGGAGCAGGGCAGACCAGCATTGCAGGCCACAGCAGCGCTGCAGACCAGCACAGACCGTAGCAGACCAACACGGCAGACCATTGGAGCACGGCAAACCAGCACGGCTGACCACAGCAGCAATAGGACAGAGCAGCACGGCAGACCAACACGACGGATGATCGTCACGAGCCCGATGTACAATCGCGACGTTTCTTGCTCTTGTTTGGTTGGGCTTCCCGAACATGGCCTCTTCGCTTGTCAGCTCATTCGAAAAATTGGCTTCGAAGGCGGATCAGAACCAACATCGTCTTGGAATCGCTCCAGGCCTTTTAATGGGTCAACTGAGCCCCCAGAGGACCCCAGAAGAGGACCCCCAGGGTGGCGCCAAGACGGCCCGAGAGTGCCCCCCAAGAAGCCGAGTGCACGCCCAGGCGGCCCGAGATGACCCCAGAAGCACCACAGAGGATTCCAGAGGCCCCCACGAGGCCCAGAAGATAGTTCCACACTCTCTTCAAGCCAGCTCCTTGGCATCGCT